GAACAGTCTGGTACTCAAAATTTGCTAAACTTAGTTGCAAAACTTACAATAGCTCACAGCACTTTCTAACAGCCAGCTTCCAAAACACTCAGATCAGATCAGCCCAGCATCTAACAAAACAGAGAGCTAACAGTCATTCTGGCTCCCTCTTATGGCTGATTGAGGAAAAGAGCAACCAATCACATTTACAGTACGATTTAAAGAAACAGGTATAGGATTGTTACATGATTTATATATTGCCAACCCAACCATTAGATTATATTCCTAACAGTTTTAAAAGGTCAAATGTGTAAACTTACTGTTTTATTTGTAGAACTTGTGCTGAAATAAGTTCTTGCTTATTTATAAAAAACTGCTGGATCATGTTTCTTTTGGCAAAAGGTAAGTATGTTTAAATCATATTTATTATTACATGCAATTTACTTCATTTCAAATTGTGTTTATAATTGAAATAATGGTTTGATTTATGAAGTATTTGGGGGACTTTTTGGTTTTATATTGTTTCAAGGCAATAAAAACAAGTAAACGTTAATATTATTGAGTGGTATATTATAGAATATTTAAAACTTATTTTTATTCTGATATCTCAAAGGATTGTGATAGTCTCTCCACATATAATGTCTATAATAAAAATGTGTGGCAACAAGAAAATGACTTGCCATGTGTTATTCATAGTGGAACTTGAACTTCAGTTTCTCTGTTCCAATCCAACATTTTAACAATGCATTATAGTGGCTCACTATTCTGGTATGACTGAGTAAAGTTTATCTTATCAATTTATCTGAGCAAAAGAAAGAGGAATATATTTAATATCTGTACCAGCTGAAATTCCATATTCCTCTACTTATTTTTTATTTATTTCTATCCCATATATTATTTTTATAAATAAGGGCACAAACATATCCAGCACACCATCCTCCTGTTTTCCCCACAACAACCCTGTGAAGTGAGTTGGGCTGAGAAAGAGTGACTGGCCCAAGGTCACCCAGTTGGCTTTCATAGCTAAGATGGAATTAGAACTTAGGGTCTACCATTTTCTAGCATTAACCCCTAGGCTAGGTGTCAGCAGCCTTTGGCTCTGGAGCCACGTGCGGGAGGGGAGAGAGGGAAAGAGAAAGAAAGAGAGAGAGAGAAAGAAAAAGGAAGAGAGAGAGAGAGAGAGAGTGAGAGAGGGTGGGAAAGAGAGAGGAAAAGAGAGGAAGAGAAAGAGACTGAGACTGAGACCGACCTTCATTTTACATAGGTGGGAGTGAGTGATGTCAAATTGGCCATGCCTACCCATGTTTTATGGCTCCTGGTGTTTTCTTTTCTGTGGGAAATGGGTCCAAATGGCTCTCTGAATGTTTAATTTTGCAGACCCTTGCATTAGACCAGTGGTTCCCAAACTTGGCAACTTTAAGACTTGTGGACTTCAATTCCCAGAATTCTCCAGCCAGCAGAGCTTAAAGTCTTAAAGTTGCCAAGTTTGGGAACCACTGCATTAGACCAAACTATTACTAACATTTTATAAATTTTACAGCTTCCTCTGAACTAGGGGTACAGGAGAAAAGGAGCAAATAATTATTTTATAATGGCTTTGATGAACATTTTAAAAGAAAAAGTCTTGATTTCTAAAGATTTATACTCAGCACAAATATTTTTATTTAATATTTCAGGAAAAATACTGCAGATGGAAGATGATTTGGTTATCTCTTTCCAGCTTCTGCTGTGTGTTTTTGATTATTGTACCAGACAATTACCCCCTGCACTACTTAAAGAACCTTACAGTAAGGATTTAATATGTTTCATTAACAATATAATAATGTCTATATTAAAATAATTATAACAATTCAAAAGATGGTATCTTGCCTTGTACATTTCATAGCTGTGTTTTCATTTCAACAATCACTTTCTTCTACTTCTAACTCATTTGTGTCAGGTACAAAAGATCAGATCCATACATAGTCTAATTAAACTGATTTGTTGCTACTCATGTCGATGCACAGGAATATTCTCATCTAACAGCATCTTCTGGGAGTAAGATAAGATCATCTGAATTTAAGGGTGCTGACTTAGTCTGCTTGTGGCTACATAAAAATTTTAGGCTGAGTCTTTTAATTCTATTCCCAAGTTCTGACATTCTTTGCCTATCTAATTGCAGTATAACACTTTTTCATATAATGATCTAAATGAGCAGGCGCAAATAGAAATGTTTAAATTTGAATCATGCTTGGGAAAATTCTGAAAATTAATGAATTATTGTATGTGAATTATTTTATTTTAGCCTATGCAACTGGCTTAGAATAATATTTTTCTCATGCTGGACAAAAAGTTATTTGTTCATTTCTTTTACAGCTCTTTATAATTCTAATGGTGATTATAAAAACTGGAAAAACAACTGGAAAGACATTACCAAGTGTAAAGCGAATACACATTCCTATATTTATTTTTCCAGAACTAAAACTGAAACAAATGTTTTATATTCACATTACAGAATGGAAGATATACTTGTATTTTGTAAACTAGTCTTAAAAATGCTGGAATATCATGTTTTGATTTATATAGGGACGGCCAATCAAAGATTATAGTATTGGTCTGAAGTTGCTACTGCATCATAATATTAAAGTATTGGAGATACAGCTGATGGTAATTCAAAAGTCAATATTCAGAAGGCCACAAATACCTCACTTGTTAATATATCTCTGAAAACATTTATTTTTATTTACAGATAATCCTCGATTAACAATCATTCGCTTAGTGACCATTTGAAGTTACAGCGGCACTGAAAAAAGTGACTTATGAACGCTTTTCACACTTAAGACCATTGCAGCATCCCCATTGTCATGTGAACAAAATTGGGATGCTTGGCAACGGTTCATATTTATTCGTATTTACAACAAAGAAAGGTTGTAAAATGGCACAAAACTTAACATCTGTCTCACTTAGCAACAGAAATTTTGGGCTCAGTTGTGGTTGTTAATCAAGTAGTACCTGATTAACATTAAATTATTTGATTATTTATTAAATTTATTTGCCGCCCATCTTGTTTTGAAGCTACTCTGGACAGCTTTTAAATCTTTATATTTAACAATACATTTAACTCAGTGGTGGGTTTAAAAATTTTTCACTACCGGTTCAGTGGGCGTGGCTAGGTGAGCGTGCATGTGACTGAGTGGGTATGACCAACTTGACATCACTCATGTCCATGCCCACTTAGTCACACGACCCCCCGGCCCCCAAAGTTATGGCCACAGGAAAAGGTAGGAAATTTTTTGAAATTTTTACCTATTTACTCCTGCCCATGTTTCCCCTTCTTTAGTGGCCCCGCCCAGCCCCACCTGCCACCCCCAAATTGCGCCCCACTGTGAGATGCGCATCTTACCAGAGTCTGGCAACTCTGTCACGTCTCTCAGCCGTTGTGTGGAAGAAAAAACCTTGCACAGTAAAGAAAAACTTGTGAGTGTGAGGCAATTAACTTCTCGCACTCTTGGAAGTTTTTCTTTACTGTGCAAGGTTTTTCCCTGCACACAATGGCTGAGAGACACTTGCAGTGGGGTGCAATTTGGGGGTAGCAGTTGGGGCAGAGGATGGCGCGGGGCAGGCCGCGAAATGCACATCCTACCAGAGACTGGCAGCCTTGACCTTGCGGCTTTTTTGGGGTTTTATTAAAAAAAAACCGCCTCTCCAGACAAGCTTGAAAATTTGCTTTGGGAGGGGAGTCGGGCAGGGTCCCCCCCCCCCCTCAGGCACCTGCAGCCTTGGAGCCTGCAGCCTTGGAACAACTCCCGGCTGTTTCACAGTAAAGAACAACTTCTCATGAGTGCAAGGCACTCTGAGAAGTTTTTCTTTACTGTGCAAGGTCTGGAGAGGTGGGATTTTTTGGGAAAACCCAAAACCGCACGATCCGGAGCATTCAGTCTCTTGTAGGATGTGCATTTTGCGGCGTGCCCCGCCCCATCCCCTGCCCCACCTGCTACCGCAAAATTGCGCCCCACTGCAAGCGTCTCTCAGCCATTGTGTGAAGTTTGCCTCACACTCACGAGAAGTTGTTCTTTACTGTGCAAGGTTTTTCCCTGCTCACAACGGCGGAGAGACACTCGCAGTGGGGTGCAATTTGGGGGTGGCAGGTGGGGCAGAAGATGGGGCGGGCCAGGCCACAAGATGTGAATCTTACCAGGGACTGGCATGTCTGGATCTTGCGGCTTTTTCAGGGGTTTCTTTAAAAAAAAAGCCTCTCCAGACAAGCTTAAACATTTCTGAGGTTGCTTTGGGAGGAGGCAGTTGGTCAGCGTTTTCCCCCACTCCCCAGGCAACTGCAGCCTTGGAACCTCAGAGCCTGCCCAGTTGGTTGGTTAAAGTGCAGGTTGGATCCTAATGCTCCATCACTGGAGGCTTTTAAAAAGGAGAACCTTTTAGCGTCCAGCTGGCAAAAAAAGCTTTCAGACGTGACTGGCGCCGGGCAGACAAATGGAGTGGCCGGTGGCTTCAGCTTTGGTCTGGCGTGAGCTGCGTGCCTGGCCTGGGGAGGCAGTGAGCAGCTCGCTCGGACAGCTGCTTTGACAGCCGCAGGAGGAGCACCCCTTGTCACCCCTGACAGGCCTTCCCCGCAGTTGCAGCCACAGCACCCTGCTCCTGCTGGTGTGCTGAGCTGGGCTGCAGGGATGGTCGGATCTTGTCCCATATGTTGCACCCCCCCTCCCAGCCTTCGCCTGTGCCTCTATGCCATTTTCAGGTGCCCAGCTTTC